ACAATTTATATGCTTTTTAAAATCAATTTCTCGATAAGCTTTTACAGCCTTCCAGTATGTCCATTTGTGATTTTTTATACCAACAGACCTTGATTTTAGATTTTTGTACAAATGAATACCACAAAGACCATGAAAAACATCTGGGAAACACCTTCTAACAGCGTTGTCAATTGAGTTTGCCCTATCGGATATGATTGTCAGATTGCTAATAGGACCTATGCAATCCCTAAGATGCCCCATAAACCATGTTCATGAATCAGAGGTTTCAGATTTGCCAACCCCGTAAGCTATTGGCAGTATCCTATTGTTAGCATTCATGGCTATTGCTAATAAGTTTACTCCAAGGTATCGACCTTTCAAATGTGTTCTGTCAACTATAATAATTGGGCACATGCAAGTAATAAACGAACGAATCTACAATAATATACACAAGAAATATAATCATTTAAATTTGAAATGCATGTAACTAACAAAAATGAGTCGACAAGATTATATTGATTTACTAACCGTAGCACCAATGGCGATAAACAGCAACTCAAAACGTTCATCTCTATCTATTTTGATATGAGTTATCGACCCAGGATTTTTCAGCTTTAAATTGTGACAATAAGCCGACAGTTGGGTAAACGATGCTTCTGGCGACCCCCTCAACAATTCCAAGGTATAACATTTGGCTCTTCAAGCTTGAGAATATGAAATATTAATCTTGAACCGAGCATTCATATCAGTCATAATTTCATGTCCCCGATATACCCTGCCATTCAAAAACATTAACTCAGCCAGAAAACCACCCAACACCTTTTTGTTTGCCTGTCTATGGTGAGGAAAAACTTGGGTTCTTGAACATGTATGTTTAACAATAAAAGTTCTAACTTGAAACATTTCGCAATCATTTATCCTCTTTGCAATCATACGCCACGTACAGTTTTTTTTCAATCATACACTTTATTTCGAAACGATCTTTGCTTGATTTGTTAACTTTTAATTGATAGCAATCTTCCACACATTTCGTATACAAAGCTATCTTCAAGTCTTCCTTTGTATCAAAACAATCATTTTTCTTGATACGAATAACTTTTGTATAACAATCAACTGCTATCTTTACCAACTCTTCTTCCGGTATCTGAAGTAATTCTGGCATATTCCAGTTATACTCCCATGGCATTTTCTTCTTTTTCTTTTCTTCGGGGACTTCTTCTTCTTCTTCTTCTTCTTCAGGGTTATATGAATTACAGAATGGATGTTCAATATGTTCATTCACAGTCGTAACTTCCTCCTCATTATCATCAACAACATCTTCATCGGCAGCGGCTGTTTCATTATCAAAATCTGGGTATTGACTAATATCAAAATCATTACATGCAGGTCTGTTTCTTCTTCTGAAACATCATCAAAATCCGAGTATTGACCAAGATCAAATTTCGGGTATTGACCAAGATCAAATTTTGAATACTGACTAGTACTCACAATTTTTTATGTTGGCTCATCATCGTCTAACTGGTCAATACAAAAACTGAAATTTGGTGCTGAAAGTTGATTGGGATTTGGATTAGGGAAAGGTTGTGGGTTTTGAGATTGTATTTGATATTGTGTTTGGTATTGGAAATGTGGTGAAATAAAATTTTTTGGTGATGAAATTGTGGTTGAACATTAAATTTTGAGGTTGATAACAATGTTGTACATTATGAGCACCATAAACTGGGGTTGAAGCACTTAGTTGATTACTACCCGCTACTGACCCAACTTCACTACTTCTAGGTTCAACAACATACAATGTAACATCATTATCTTGCGAAACACTAATGTAAGCAATGAATCGTTCAACATCTTCATTGTCGGTTAACAAATAAACTTTACCTTTTCTCTGATAAGATAGCCTAAATCCACTTAAAGACTCTAAATTCAATTTCTTTGCAACACGTAACATTAGAGTTTCATAAGTTAACTTTTTGAATGATAGTTTTAGTTGAAGATTCATGGGTAAAGGCATATATTGTAAACACCATTAACATTCTCCCATGACCCTCCAAAACATAAATCTATCCAAACATGATCAACATTAGATGATTTCATTCTACAAATTGTAAATTAATTTACTAAACAAACGAGCTATAAACTAGATATCATCACTAACTTAGAGAAAAACATATCTTTATTAAGTTGATAGTTGATACTTTGGGAGAGCAATCATTGAAAAATTATATAGAAATAAAATTATGTAAAAAAAATTAGAGATGAGGAAGGATATCGTTGGATATAGGAACATATGTCGCCGGAGAGATTGAGAGATGAAGATGGAATGAGTTACAATTTAGGGATTTAGGTTATGAGTGTCTGCTGCTGCGTAGTTTATATACCCAAAACATTTGTGTTGCGAAAATAAAAGCTGTTGCGAAATTAAAATTCGTGTTGTGAAAACAAAATTCGTGTTGCGAATTAGAAAATTTTGTTGCAAAAAGGCAACTTATGTTGCGAAAAGGAAACTTGTGTTGCGAGAAAGAAATTCGTGTTGCGAATTTGGAAAATCGCGTTGCGAGAAAGAAATTCGCGTTGCGAATACAGAAACTGAGTTGCGAATTTGGAAACTGTGTTGCGAAATTAGAGTTCGCGTTGCGAATTTGTTGGTCATTTTCGCAAATAAAAAAAAAAGTTGGTTAAAATCGTATATTATAAGGCATTTAGGTCACTGAAGTTATTTTCTATTTTTTTTACAACTTGTGTCAATTTTATTGATCAATCTAACTTTTTCTTCTTTAATTTTGTTTAACTGCCGACGGTATCGATTTTGATGCTAGTTGCCGCCTGTCGGTTGTCTTTTTCTTTTTAGTTTTTTTTATTAAGAATGCTTATGTCTTTGTGACATATTCTTTGTCTTTATGTCGCATTTATCTGTTCCTTTGTGACACGTTTTTCTCTGTCTTTTGGCAGCTTACGGTTTTTTTATCGTTGTTTTCATTTATTTTTTTTCTCAAGTTTAGATTTAACATCATCATGACTGATCAAGATGAGGCTTATTTGTTATCATGCTGATCTTCTCTGCTTTGGACCTTTAGATTGATTTGGATACGCGTTTTACGTTCTTATATAGTTTTCTCACTTCGCTTAACTCTTATTTGCGATTTGTCAGTTGTCTTCAGTAGCTTCATCCATTTTTATGGTTCGTTTGCCGATACAGTCAAATTTGTTCGTATCTTTATTTTGTTCGAGCATTTGTTAGATTTTTTAATATTTTCCTTTTTTGTCCTTATGTAATCTAGGTAGCTAATTTTTGTGTCAATGGTTATAAAAAATGTCTTAATTTAATTTAGTTTATGTTTACGGTTATGCTTATAAATCTTCATTGTAATTTCGGATATTTTCTATTTTTAATGAAGCTAGTGATTTTCTATAAAAAAACATTTAAAATATTCATATTTTGTAATTTATAAATTTATAATTTTTATTAAAATATAATTATATAATTAATAAAAATTTTATGAGTTTAATTTTTTTTGGTTCTTGGACTCATTAAGCGACTCTAGTGGTTAGAGTTATCTTAGACATTTTCGGAGTCATGAGCGAAACTAAAATACAGACTTTTATAAAATGTTAGAATATTCTATTACTTTGAACAATTAGTTTAATATTAAATTAGTAAATCATATAAAATGATTAAATTAGGGGCTTAAACTATAGGAGTAAGAAGTATAGTTGAAAAAATTAGGGACATCAATTATAAAGGTAAAATGTGAGATTAAAAAATTTGGGGGCCTCAATTGTAAAGGTAAAATATGAGATTGAAAAAAAGTATAGCCTAAATTATATAAGTAAAAAATGGAATTGAAAAAACTAGGGGTCCAAATTATAAAGGTTAAAAGTGAGATTAAAAAAATTAGAGCCTTAATTATAAAGTTAGAAAGTGATATTAAAAAAATTATGAGCTCAATTATAAAAATACAAAGTGGGATTGAAAAACTTAGGGTCATCAATTATAAATGTAAAAAGTGAGATTAAAAAATTAAGGAGTTTAATTATAAAAATAAAAAATTTAATTACAAAAATTAGGGACATTAAATGTAAAAATAAAATTAAAAAAATTAAAAGACTTAATTATAAAAGATGGGGCCTGAGCGGTTGCTCAGGGTAAGAAAAATGTTACTTTTCTTAAATATCAAGTATCCGATCAACTGCGTTTGTCGAATGTGTTTCGTCAAAGACTAGGATTTTTTTTTTAAAAAATCATCTTATAATTATTCTAGACTTTAAAAATTATACACTTTACACTCACGATTACTAATATTTGATTAGACAATCACTTTAATCTCATTATTTTTTTAGCATTTTGACCAAAATGTTCCATTTCTGATAAAATACTCGTATTTTAAAGTATTTATCATTCGTTAACTAATGATTTTTATTTACGAATGTTATTTTAAAATAAAAATATCAAAACCATAATATTTTTAAATTAAACAAAAAATAAGATAACCATTTAATCAAATACATAAATATTTCTTATCATTTTATCCAAAAACTATTATATACTAAGAAAGGTAACGGAGGGTTGACAGAAATTATAAAAAAAAACAATGATATTTAAATAAGATTTCAATCTCAAATATTAGGAATAAATATAGAGAATATTATTATTACAATTAAATTTAATTTAAAATTGAAACAATATATCCGAGCATGAGATATTAATAATTAGTTGATCTCGTAAGATAATAAATTAGGTACATAATGTTTAATTTAGGTGTCTAAATTATAATTCATTTTTTATGTTTAATTTTTTTTATTAAAAATAGGTACATAAAATTTTATTTGTTACATTTTTTCGGTGTCTACCGTTTAAAAATCGTTAAATGACATATATCACGCCCGAAAAATTAAAAATAATTATTTTAATAAATATTGAGAGCTAATTTTGATATTATGTAATTATTATTTCATAAAGTTGTCGCCATAAACTAGTTTTTGATACAAAAACACACCACACCCCCAGTGGTTCCATTAGAACATTTTCAGAGCTTGGGCTGACCATTTGGATGATGAATGACAATGTGATTATACGCATCGAGTGTCAAAAAATCATCCAATGTCGAAGCCGTGCACTGTCGGATGAAAATCTTGCAGGCTTCTTTGTACATCCCCTTCTTGAACTTCTCTTTCCCCACCTCTCGTTCGATCCGGCCCATCTCTTCCTCGACCACTCTCCCGAAGAGCTCGCGGTTCACTCGAACCCCGAGTCCGTCGCCGTCCAATTCGACCCCGTATTTCAGCCACTGCCAGTTCTGAACCCTACTGATCTCGGCCGTCGCGGCGTCTTCCATGAGGTTGTAAAGAGGGACCGAGCCCGCACCGGTTAGCCAAGCCGCCAGGTATTGGATCCCGACGCGAGTATTCAGACGGAGGCCTTCCATCGTACGAACCCCTCGAGGCCTTTGCAATAAGTCGTCCTCCGTTACGCCGCTCGCGTCTTCTCGTTTGACGGTTTCGATCTGGTTAGGGGAATCACCCATGGTGTTGGTGAAGACTTCCATGCATGCTTGGATGAGCCCCGGATGAGCCGCCCATGTGCCATCATGCCCTGCCTTCACTTCTCTAAGCTTATCTTTTCTTACAAGATCAAAGGCTGCCTCATTAGCCGTCGGATCATCCCTGATCGGTATCTGAGCCGCCTGTTTAAGACAATTGGACCGTCATTAACACATACAACACGTACGATATGTACTGAAATGTTACAATTTATGTTGTATGTACCATTCCGCCCATAGCATGGACGCCGCGTCGATGGCATGTTCGGATGAGGAGGTCGGAGTAGCTCTTCATGAAGTGTTGGGCCATGCCGACTTGAACGCGATCAGGCAACAATCGGTCCGGGTGACCTTGGAAGGTCTTGACGTAGCTGAAAATGTAGTCCCATCGACCGCAGTTGAGGCCAACGGAGTGATCCCTAAGTTCGTAAAGGATTTCATCCATCTGGAAAACGGCAGGCAGAGTTTCGATCAAAACAGTTGCCCTTATGCTTCCTTTCTCTATGCCTGCCATCTTCTCTGCCCTCTCAAACACACTGTTCCATATCCTTGCTTCCCTGCCAAATTAAGGTAAAATTAATATAACAATAGAATCATACAAAAATTGCGATATCGAATCAAGAAAATCATTTCGGGTTTGAGTCGAGTATTAAACAAAGTTTAGGATAAGTTGTATTAAATTTTAAATTTAAACAATCTCGTATGGGGATGAACATTTGACCCGAATTCTATGGGTTTAAATCTGACTTATCTAATTATGTAGAATCAAATTTTTTCTGGAAAAAAAATTGGGTTTGGATTTTTTGTCAGGTTTAAGATGAAAAATACAAATATGACATTACCCAGATTATAAAATAATTATTTTATAAATATTTAAAAATAATTACAATAATATTTTTATATGTACATATATTTAAACAAATTCATATTTTATTATATATATATATAGGTTATAAAACTTTTATTTAAGTATGTAATAAATAAAAATAGACACTTAAGATTAATAAAAAAAATAAAAAAAAATTATCGAATAAAAAAAAAAGCAAGGAGTTATAACTCAAGGTCAAATTGAAGGAATGGTGAAAATATTGTGTTTTTATACATTTTGGTTCAGTAGTAATTTAGGTCTTATAAGTTTATGTATCAAAGAAAATTATATCTTAGGGTAAATTCCACAATTAATACCTAAATTATCAATTTTAATATGTTTTAATACTTGAACTAGCAATCTTTTCACAGTCATATCTGACATTTAATTTTCATTTTAATACTCTTCCGTTGAATATCTAACGCGTTTAGTACATAAACTATCAATTTCGATTCGTTTTAGTACTTAAACTTTTAATTTTTTTCAAAACCTAACGTTACATTTTGAATCGGCACTAAAATGAAACAAAAGTTAAAATTTTTAATCTCTTGCTACTAAAATGAAACAAAATTAAATTTTATGTAAGATTTAAAAAAAAAATAAAAATATAGATACTAAAACGGATCAAAACTAATAGTTTAAATACTAACTACTAATTTATCTTATATCTTATTAATTTAAAGAGTTAAATTTTAAGTTCAAATACTTTATAAATTTTACTGTCTTATAAAATTGAGAATTTACCTTGAGTTCTCCATTTTGGGAAGATAAAAGAAGGGCCCAAAGCCTTGACCTTGGGACTTACGGAAGGCGGCATGATTGTGGTAAAAATAAAGGCCGAAATCGACGAGACAACCGGTGGCGGGTTCGCCGTCGATGAGGATTTGGGCCTCCGGCAAGTGCCAACCCCGTGGGCGAACAAACAGCTTGGCGGTTTCGTCGTTGAGCTTGTAAACCCTGTTCCTCGCCTTGTCGGTGAACATTATCGTCCCATTCACTGCGTCCTTCAGGTTGACTTGGCCTCTCATCAGATTCTCCCAACTCGGCGACAGGGCATCCTCGAAATCAGCCTAAAACCAACCAACCAAATCATCATATGGTAAAATGAACAAAAAAATTATATCTTTTAATTAAGAATAAACTATAATTTTAATATTTAAACTATCAGTTTTAAACTGTTTTAATATTTAAATTTTAATTCTTTTTTCAAATCATATCTAAAATTTAATTTTTATTTTATTTTGATACCCTTTGAAATTTAACATTAAATTTAAAAAGTGAAAATTTAATTATTAAATGTGTGAAATTTTTAACTATTAAAATAAAATAAAAAAATTAAATTTTATGTATGATTTAAAAAAAAAACAAATATACTTGAATGAACAAAAACTGATAATTTAAATATTAAATATATATATTTTATCTTTTAATTAACTAAATAATTAATTTAACTCCTACTTTTTTAAGTATTTTAATTATAATATTTCCTTTTTAGAGTAAAAAGTTTTATCTATATAAAGTTATTGATTAATAAATTATAAAATAGAGATCTTTTCGTCATAAAATAAAATATTAAAAGTTAAAACATTTTGAAAATATAATAAGGATCAAATGTTTATCTAATCAAGTGTTTGAAGTCATTTTTCATTTAAAATAAAATATTTCAAAATAAAAATAAAACTAAAATGATCATATAATCAAATATTAAAGATATTTTTAAAAGGATAAATTACATATTTAATATCTTAATTATTTGTATAATTCTATTTTAATCATTCAATTATTTTTATTTTTTAAAATTATATCTAATATTTTAGTTTTATTTTAATAACAATTAGTAGAATTGTTGATGTGATATTTTTTATTTTTAATAATGATATAATATTATATTATGATGATATATCAATAGTTTTATTAATTTTTTAATGATTAGTGACTGGAATAAAATTAAAAATAAATTTAGATATAATTTAAAAAAATAATCGAATGACTAAATAATTGGTTTACCCTTTTTTAAATTATAAGGCAAGAAAAATCACTCACCATGAAGACTTTAGCTCCGGAATTAAGGGCGTTGATGATCATCTTCCTCTCGACCGGACCCGTGATTTCGACCTTCCGATCGGCCACGGAAGGCGGAACCGGCGCGCAAGTCCATTGGCCTTCTCTGATATACCTCGTGGCAGGGTCGAAACCAGGCAACGCTCCTTCATTGTATCGCCTCTTGGCCTCTCTGCGGCATTCCATCGCATACTTGATGTGGTTCCTGAATTCCCTCTGCAAATCAACCACGAATCGCAGAGCCTCCTTCGTTAGAACACCAGCGAATTCGACGTCGAATCGGCCCCGAATATCGACGCCTTCCGGCACGTCATAGCCGTTGGTCTTCATCGGAGCCGGAGCCGAGCAACCGTTGCTCTCTAGCCCAATCATCTTTGCTGCTAAACGTGGAAATTGAGTTGTTTCTTGGCTTTGTGAAAATGGAAATATATAGAGGTGAGAAGGGGCGGGGAGCGGTACAGTTTTTGAAAAAATGAAACAAATTATTGAATTAGTGTTAAGGGTTAATTTATGACTAATTTAATTAAATTTATTAAAATAAAGGGTAAACAACGTAAATGATTCCGACTATAAAATATTATTTTATTAAGTCTATTGACTATTAAAAGTCACAAAATGATTCTTTAACTATGGAGTGTTGCTTTATTGAGTCCCTCGACTATTAAAAGTTACAAAATGACAACCCGACTATTCATTATATTCCAAACTCGTCCTTTTTCGTTAAAAATAGACTATATTCTAAGCTGAACATTAACTTGTTGACCGTGATATGATAAAATTTGATCACAAAATCTCAAACGCCTATCACATCCCAGTCATCATGTTAACATCCAGCTTAAACAATCGCCAATTTTTTAATGAAAATGACTACTCTGGAACATCATGAATAGTCGAATGATCATTTTGTAACTTTTAATAAGTGAGGGACTTAACAAAGCAACACTCCATAGTCGAATGATCATTTTATAACTTCTAATATCATAGGGATTTACTAAAACAATATCTTATAGTCGGGGTCATCTTCATTCTTTACCCTAAATTCATTTTAAGAAGTCATTAATGTTATATATAAGTATTAATAGAGAATCAACCCATAATCAAAAAATTAATGTAAAATTTAGTTATCAGTGACCACGAAGGGTGTAAATGAGCTGAGTCGAGCTCGAGTATTGTTAAGCTCGACTATATTCGAAAACTCTGAAATAGAGTTCGACTTGAATACTCGTGAGCTTAAAATTTTCATGCTCGACTCAAACTCGAAATCCTGAACTGAAGCTCGTGAGCAGCTCGAAAATGCTCGAAGTGAAAAAAAAAAATCTTAAACTTAACTCGAATGAAGCCTCGAACTCGAACTTGAACCTTAAATACATAAAAATCTTACTGTATTTTTAAAAAAAATCAATACATAAATATTAATATTATTAATAATTTATTTTTTTAATAAAATCTTAATATATTATATTTTTGAGCTGCTCACGAGATTTTCGAGTCGAATATCAAGTAGCTCATTTCGGCTCGTTAAGAACTCGAGTCTATTCGATCCGAGTATTTATCAAGTCTATCTCAAGTAGCTCACGATTTGTCTCGTCTCATTTACAACCCTAGTGACCACCCTACTAATAATAACTTATTAAAATAATTTATGTAAATATATTTTTTACATAAATATTGTGAATATAAATAAATAATTTAATCAATCGATTAAATATATTTATTCTTATTAAAACTCGTTATTAAGTTTGGTTTCACAAGTGAAATGACATCTACTTAATTAGGTAAAATTCTAAAATATTTCAAAAATAAATAGTTTCTTTTCACACTGTGAACAAAATTTTTTCAGAATGATTTATGTAAAAATAATAATATTTAATTTTAAATATAATTACTAAAACTAGGTTTAACTTTTATTAAAATAATTATTTTAGATTTTGTTTTTTTAATATTTTAATTTATATTATTTTTCTAATATTTTAACATCTAATATTTTATTTTATGACAAAAAGATATCTTACTTTTCATTAATAGTCATTTGACACTTATTCTTATTTTTATAACATTTTAATCTTAACGTTTTGTTTTAATATAAAAGTACGCCTATTTTAGAGTATTAATCATTTATTAATTAACGTTTTCATTTATAAAATAATAGTTTTATCTTAAAATGAAATATTTTAAAAATAATAAAAACAATCAAGCGTGGATGGATACAGGGATGGGTATGGGTCGGGTTTCGACCAACCGATCTGATCCGAAAATTTTACATCCTTCACCCGACCCGACCTACTCGAAAAATATATACCCTCCTTCAAATCTGAACCCGATCCGACCTGACACGAAATAATAAATATTATTTTTATTCAATAAAAAAAGTGGTTTAATTGAAAAAATATTATTGTAATTATTACTAAATATATAAGGTAAAATTATATTTTTCCCGATTGGGTCGAGTCAGATATTTTTCACCATAAACTTCAATCCTACTCGACCCGAACATCACTTTTAAAAAACCCGATCCGACTCGAACTCAAAATTTTTTTTTAAAAAAAATCTATCCAATCAAATCGAGTCGAATCTAAATCTGTCAGATTCGGGCATCATGTCTATCCCTATACGGATATAAAGAGAGTTATCTTAATATCATGGAGTGAATTATTAGTTGATATAGTCGTGACAATATATAATATGATGTCTAAATATAAAATTATATAATTAGGAGATTGTAAGTGGATAGGCACAAAGAGAGTTATCGCTTTGGACTTAAACTAACCCACCCAATAACGCCAAATTCTGACTCGGTGTTTGAGGCGTGCCCGCCATTCATATATATATATATATATTCAATCATTCATATTTAATTTATTAATAATTAATTTATACGATTAAATAATATAAATGATAAAAAAATTTATTGAGATTTTATATTCGAATATTATATATGTAAGAGTGTATAAATATTTATTATCAATTATCATTTTTAATTCGTTTTACTACTTCAATTTTTTTTAAAAAAAGAAAATTTTAACGTTTAATTTTTATTTCATTTTTGAACATTTATTAAAAACTTAATTGGCGGATATATTTTCGATGGACAAACGACCAATCCTAACGATGGATTACAAAAAGACGACGAGTCGACCAACATAGTCCGATTTCAAACCCATCAAACGACATTATACAAAATTCCTAAAAATTCATTTATCGGACCGATATCTCCCAAATAGATTTTTTTGAAAATATACTCTCAAACTGTCCATATCTCTTATTTTAGGAAAATTAGAATTGCGTTCATGAGAATAATAAAAGAAAAGCCAAAGTGAAAAAGTTTAGACTTATCTGTCCATGGATACAACGACAGCGGAGTGTGACGGCAGCAGGAATTTCATTGATGGAGAAATGGGGGTGGTGATAAGGATGATGAACTCTGTTTTGAAAATCGGACCGGATCGATCGGTTCAATTGGTTTAATCGAAAACCGTTGTTTAGTCTGGTTCAATCTAAATCGGTTGAACAGTTATTAGTGAATCGGTCAGAACCGCTGAACCGTTCGAACCGGACCGGCTGAAAACCAAAAAAACCGAGAAAAACAGGGATTTTTGTTTTTTTTTAAAAATAATTAAACCAAAAAACGTCATTTGTTAAACGAGTCAAGTCGAACTCGAGTATTGCTGAGCTCGACTCGAACTTTAAAACTTTAAAAGTAAGCTCAACTCAACTCAAACTCACAAACTAAAAATTATCAAGTTCAACTCAAACTCGAAATATAATATTGAAACTTGAACTCAAAAAGGCTTGAACTCAAAAAAAAAATAGAAGCTCGATTGAAGCCTAAAATTCGAGCTTGATTGAAGTGAAAGAATAGTTATATAATTATAATTATATAATTTTGTTATGATTTTTTTAACCCAAATTTATTTTTTAAATATAGTTATATAATTATATTTATTATTTAATATGTTTTACCTTAAATATTATGTTGTAGTTAATTTGAATCATTTTTTTTCACTTGATTTTATGGTTTTTAACTTATATATGTTATGACTTGCTTTGAATATGACTTGTGATATAAAAAATTATTTTTTGTTAAATATTTTTGGTATTTTTATTTAATTTTTTAAATAATTATGACGTCGTCCGGTTCTTCTGATCGGTCGAACCGGTTTGACCAGTTGAACCAATGAATCGATAACATGACCGGTTCGCTAATCTGATTCTGAAAAATCATAATGATGAAGTGCGTCGTTTTTGGGCTGCGTGCCTTCGGGATGCGTAAGCTGTGGAGATATATGATGATAAGATCATATGATTCCTCAATTCAAGGAATTTTGTGCACTGCTTTTGTATCATTATCTACTTATCCATCGCTCTGAGAAATTCTATCTAAAATATTATTGATTTTATTATTTTTTAATAAAATTGGTAAAAAATATATTTAAAATATTATTATTTATATCTAAAATATTAATAATTTTTAACAAATCCGATAAAGTACCCAAAAATAATAAAATCAATACAAAAAATAATGAAATCGTTGAAGTTTTGTATCAATTCAGATCATTTTTGAATATATATTGTAAAATGATTTTAATTAATTTATTACTTTTAAAATTTTAGTGGAAAAAGAAAAAATTTACTCAAATATTAGTAATTATTTGTATAATTTTTTTTATATATATTCATTACGTTACATCAACAATCCATTAAAAGTTTAACTGCAGTTAACCATCAATGATCATAAATTAATTAAATAAATAAAAGTTACCAAATATTATGTTTTTCAAATTTAATAAAAAAATGTACAAAACTTTAACGAAAATGAACAATCGTGTAGTTTACGTTAAATTTTGTTAATAATGTTTTTAATTATTTTTATTGAATTACTGTGTGATTTTATAAAAAAAAGAAAATATTAAACTACTTTCTAACGTTAGATGCGTATAATATAATTTACCTTTTGCACTAAAGCCTTAAACCAATTATTAATCTATTTTCTAAGAGTTTAAAAATCATTTTGACCATTTCAAAAATTACAAAGTGGTCATTAAACTTCCAAAACGATTACAAAATGATCATTAAACTGTATCAAATTATTAAATAATGGTAATTTAATTGATTGAATCGTTACAAAATGATCCTTAAACCTATCAAATTTTATCACTATTTCATAATGCATAGTGACTATTTTGTAACAATTCAATAAGTTTTAATGACCATTTTATAACTTGTGAAACTCCAAAATGACCAAAAAGATATTTTCAGCGTAGTTTAGTGACCATTTGTGTACTTTACCAAAAAAGTATAATTCTAATGAGTTCATGTAGACACAATCATTTGCTAGACATGAAACTCAAATTCCAAGATGTCTTTTTGTCTCAAAGGGTGTATTCAGT